CAGTGGCGTGCCCTGAAGAGTGGGAGTCCCAGTTCTTCATCCCAAAATGGGAACTGGTGTCCCAAAGCCAGGTTTTAACAGGGAGGGGATGTCCCAAGATGGTGCCCCCCAAAAAAATAAAAGCAGGGTGTCCCCTGGCCCTGCTGACCCCCCCCAGGGGACAAGGGCCAGCACCTCCCTCTGCTGCAGCGTTCTCTTCCTCACCCTGAGTCCTTTCCGCATCGCCCAAGGCCAGCTCACCCACACCAGCTGCCCAGGAGACCTCCCCGACGCCCGTCCCCTCCGTTGCCACCACCGTCAGCGTCACCCTGAACGTCACCGACCCCTTCCAGGTAACACCAGGGGCTGGGGAAGGGGGTAGGCAGAGGTTGGGGGGGGGGGATCCTCCGCTTCACCCCCTAACATTTCGTAGAGTCATAGAATCATAGAGTCGTCTAGGTTGGAAGAGACCCTTGGGATCATCGAGTCCAACCATCTCCCCTACTCTACAAAGTCCTCCCCTACACCATGTCCCTCAGCACTGCATCTAAACGGCCCTTAAACACCACTCTTTTGGTGAAAAATTCCTTCCTAATGTTCAATCTAAACCTCCCCTGTTGGAGCTTGAAGCCGTTCCCTCTCGTTCTGTCACGGCTGAGGGAGCTGGGGGTGTTCAGCCTGGAGAAGAGGAGGCTGAGGGGAGACCTTCTTGCTCTCTCCAACTCCCTGAAAGGAGGGTGTAGAGAGGTGGGGGTTGGGCTCTTCTCTCAAGTCCCAGGCGACAGGACGAGAGGAAATGGCCTCAAGTTACACCAGGGGAGGTTCAGGTTGGATATTAGGAAAAATTTTTTCACTGAAAGGGTTCTCAGCCATTGGAATGGGCTGCCCAGGGAGGTGGTTGAGGCCCCATCCCTGGAGGTGTTCAAAAGCCGGGTTGATGTGGTGCTGGGAGGTCTGGTTTAGTGATGATGCTCCTTGTTTGTTGTGTGGGTGTCTATTTTTGTCAGTCGGGTTGATGGTTGGACAAGATGATCTTGAAGGTCCCTTCCAACCTAGAAGATTCTGTGATTCTGTAATTACCTGTGAGAAGAGACCAGCACCAACCTCTCTACAGTGTCCTTTCAAGTAGTTGTAGAGAGTGATGAGGTCTCCCCTCAGCCTCCTCTTCCTCACACTAAACAGTCCCAGCTCTTTCAATCACTCTTCATAAGATTTTATTCTCCAGGCCCCTCACCAGCTTTGTTGCCCTCCTCTGCACTCACTCCAGCACCTCGAGATCTCTCTTGGATTGAGGTGCCCAAAACTGGACACAACACTCCAGGTGTGGCCTCCCCAGTGCTGAGTCCTGTCCCCCTCTCTTAGGACACCGGCGAGGAGCTTGTTCTTGAGGAGGATGGAGGTGACAGCACGGAGGTGCCGGCCTACGAGGACTACTACGAGGAGGACCCTGCGAGCCAGGAGAGGTTTGGCCCCGCTGAGAGGGAGGAGATGGTCATCCAGGCTCCCCAGGTAACGCTGGGGACAAGGATTTGGACCCCCCCCAGCTATGACCAACCGAGCTGGGGCCACTGGATGGAGTCCAGGGGCCACCTGGGCAATTTGGAGCCAGCTCTTGGCTATTTCTTCTCATTCTGGTGTTTTTTCAGGAGCCCAGCTTGAAGGGGGAGAAGGGCGAGCCAGCCATCGTGGAGCCGGTGAGTGGGGCACCCCTCTGCCTCCTTGGGGACATGTGGCACCCCCAGGGCCACCCATCTGAGATGGTTCACAGGATGGGGCTTGCTCTTTTTCTTCAGGGCCGGCGATTCCAGGGGCCACCAGGACCCCCGGGCCCTGCGGTGAGGAACGAGGGGCTTCTATGGGGAAGGGATTGGAGTTGACAAAGCCTTAACGTGCCTCTCTCTTCTCCGCAGGGAGAAACAGGTCCCTTGGGACCACCGGGACTCCCAGGGCTGCCCGGGGACCCTGGAGATCAGGTAAAGAAGCAGATTTGGGGGAGGGTTGTGACGGGGCCAGAGCTGCCCCACGGCAGGGTTTGGGGCTGCAGGCGTCGCGGCGGGTCCTGCCGGTGCACGTCGGCGTGCGCGCGGGGTGATGGAGCTGCAAGCCCTGACTTGACAGCCTGGCTCTGCTGGTGTAGTGACAGCTTATCCCCCCACCTTTCCCTGCTTTTCCCTCCCCCCTTCCCTGCTTTTCTCCCCCCCCTTCCCTGCTTTCTCCCCCACCAGGGTCCTGCGGGACGGCCGGGGCTGCCGGGAGCTGCCGGGATCCGTGGCCCAGCAGGGACCATGATCATGTTGCCGGTAAATGTTGGAGCAGGATGGGACCCTCAGGGATCCTCCTTCCTGCTCCCTACGGAGCTCTCTAGGTGACACCGAGCTGCTTGTCCCCACATCTGGGGGTCAGTGGCTCCCCACATCCCTCATCTTCCTCCTTCCCCCAGTTCCAGTTCGGTGG